AGGAAGCAGAGTACCAGGAGTGTCTGCAAGCATGAGCTGACCTTGCGGGAGTCTGTCAACCTTGTGTCCACATCTGTTATGAGTCAGGTCACTTGCTTCTTAAGAGGAGTTTGTTGGAGGTGATAGTATAATGAATCTAGCTCACAAAAAACCAGTTGTTATAAATTACTAATCTGGGGTGCTGGAGAGATTGCTCACCAATTAAGAGCTCTTGTTTTTCTTGCAGAGGACCTGGGTTCAGTTCCCAGGTACCCACATAGTAACTCACAACCATGTGTTACCCTAGTCCCAGGCAATCCAGCAGGCATACATGTGGTGCACATATATGCATGCAGGCAAAACATTCATACACATAAAGTAAAATAAGTAAATGAATCTTTAAAAAAATTATGAATTCCTAACTTGAGTTTAGAGCATTGAGGGCAAGATAGGGAGAGTTATAAACACTGCCCAGCCTGCAGCTGTCAGAGGCCAAGTCTTAGGTTACAATAATACCGCTGCCTAGGTGCAGCTTCTGTCTAGTCTCTGCCAGGTATCATGGCCTATGCCTTTAATTCAGCATGTGGCAGGCAGAGACAGGTGGATCTCTGAGTTTGAGACCAGGCAGAGCTATACAGTGAAACCTTGTCGCAAAAAAACAAAGTCTTACATCTGAGTTCAACTTTTTTTTTTTTTTTTTTTTTTTTTTTTTTTTGAGACAGGGTTTCTTGTGTAACCAGGCTAACCTTGAACTCAGAGATTCCTCTGCCTCTGTCTCCTAAGTGCTAGGATTAAAGGTGTGCGCCACCACCGCCTACCCAACATTCCAATTTCTTAGAAGTGCTTCTGGATCATGTTTTCCACATAGTATTTTCTGGCCAGTTTTATCTGTCCTAAAGTGATGTATGAAATTGAACACAGCACTTGAGTACAGTATAGACAATAATAGGGGCAAAACTGCCATCCACAGGCCCCACTTACACTGGCTAGTTGCCTATTTCCTATGTGCTTAATGAATGAATACCAGAAACCAGTTTCCCAATTCTGTTAGCAGACCACTCACTGTGTTCCTGTTCTGTTGACCATAGGGTATTCAGAACTCTTATCTAATGATGTTTCTACTGGCCAGACACAAGTGCTTCATTCCCTGGCTCAGGTGACACTCCTGACTCTGCACTCTGCTTTACACAGAGCCTGGCTCAGTCTAAATGCTCAGTCAGTGTTTGTTAAAGAAACCCTATGTTGCCGGGCGGTGGTGGCGCACGCCTTTAATCCCAGCACTTTGGAGGCAGAGGCAGGCGGATCTCTGTGAGTTCGAGGCCAGTCTGGTCTACAGAGCGAGATCCAGGAAAGGCGCAAAGCTGCACAGAGAAACCCTGTCTCGAAAAACCTAAAAAAAAAAAAAAAAAAAGAAACCCTATGTTGAAGTAGGAAAACTTATCTAAAAATGCCATAGGGAACATGTTAGGACAGTTCCAAGCCAGTTATTACGATAAGCCATTGCCCCATCGCTTTCAGACATAGCCCCCCACAAAATACTTCTCTGTAGATTTCATGTGCTCAAGATGAACTGCACAGCTTCCTTTTTACCTTCTGGTGAAAGCCAGGGTGGATGCTATCAGGGCTGTAAAGCAGGATAGAAGCAGCCAGGAAACCTGCAGTCTGCCCTTCAGGCTTGAAAACCCTTAACCAGAGAGCATGATTCATGTAATTCTGTATACTGCTGCGATGTGTCACTTGTTTCTATTTCTTTTTTTGAAACAGTCTCTCTAAATACCCCTCCCTACTTGGCCTGGCAGAGAGCCACAGTACCTGGCAACTAAAGAATGCCTAATTTCTTGCCTGTTTGTAGAATGTGCTGTAAAACAGGAGCTGGAGAGATGGCTAAGTGGTTAAGAGCACTAGTTGTACAGGGCAGTGGTGGTACTCGATTTTAATCCCACCACTGGGGAGGCAGAGGCAGGTGGATCTCTCTGAGTTTGAGGCCAGCCAGGGCTACACAGAGAAACCCTATCTCGGGGAAAAAAAAAAAAAAGAAAAAAGAGCACTTGCTTTTCCAGAGGTCCCGGGTTCAATTCCCAGCACCCACATGGCAGCTCACAACTCTGTAACTCCATTTTCAGGGGACCCGACACCCTCATACAGACATACATGCAGGCAAACACCAATGCACATAGAAAAGAAAATAAATAAAATAAAAAGGGGAAAAAAAGTGCTATAAAACAAGTTTACCCCAAATAGTGAGCCTTTGCTTTCCAATGACACACTGAGATGCCATATATGTACAGATTGATACATACATACAGCCTCAGAGTCTTTTAGGTAGCCTCTCTCCCACCCACCAGTTCTCCCTCATGCTGATGTAGGTAGTGTGGATAGAGCAAATCTAGCCCTTGGACCTGGTTCCTTGGCCATAGCCATCCTTTGTGAGACCTGAGGGGGAAATAACACTCATTTTCATTCTCTCTCTCTCTCACACACACACACACAGTGCGCCCCATAGTAGGTACCTTTTCATAGTAGGTAACAGAGACCAGTGTTTTCTGACAAGTGGAGAAAATGGTTTTCCTTGTTCTGTGAATGGCCTAAGACAGAGCGGTAGCCACATCCATGCTTGTTACTTTTAGAGCCCTGGCCAGTCCTGTGGTATTAGACAAAGAACATTTCTCATGCTGAAGATATGGACCTGCATCCCTGTTGAGAGCAGATGCAGGAAAGGGCCTGGGGTGTGGTCATGCAGCCCAGATCTAGGCAGTCCTGTCCCATTTACTTGATACAAAGCCACATAAGGGCCTATCTTCTTTTTTAGGGTGAATGAGGGATTGTGATATGGTGGTGAGACTCGGTTGCATGTAGCCCAGGCTCATCTCCAACTCGTTGTGTGGTGGATTCTGCTTCTGCCCCCTAAATGCTGCGATTATAGGCACGTGCCCCCACCCCCCACTGAAGGCTTGTCATTTTTAAGCCACAGCAGTCCTGTAGTAAAGGTTAGTACCTGTCTACTGTGACAGTCTTAAAGCAAGTAGGCTATGGCCAGGCCAGCATTTGAACCCATGTCTCACTGCATTAAGTGTCCTTTTGGAGTGTGTCCTAACTGTGCCCATCCTTCAGGTTCTCCTGTGTGTTGCCAGTGTTACCACAGTGCCTCAGCTCAGAGCTGCCACTGCCATGTGTGCTACTGGCTGCTGAGCTGCTCTCAGTTCTGGTGGATCATGACAGCCTTGCACAGCAGCTGTGCTCCCACTCAGGTACAGTAGGGCAGGCTGAGTCTCCACTATCCTGGGGTGGGAGGGAGGATCGGGGCAGGGACAGGTTCAGAGCCTCTCAAGGGCTTCTGCACTTGGACCTCAGGCTACAGTGAAAAGGGGAACCCTGAGTAAGGCTGAGCATCCTTTTCAGAAGGCTGCCTTCTCCTGAGGCTGTACATGTACATTACATCAAGGCCTGACAAAGTGGCCTCAGAGAAACAGTGGCTTCAGCTGGAACAAGAGGTAAGACTGGGAGGCTTTGAGAGACTGCCACCCTCCACCCCTTCCTAAGAGCCCAGGGTCTCCTTTCCTCCTGTGGGAAAATGGGAGCTACAGTTAATTTTGATTAGTTTGTCAAACAGCAACAGTAAAATTTAGGGGTCCTCACACAGATGCAATACAGATGTACCCAGGATTACAGTGGACTCTGCAGAGTTGCCTGATAATGCTGCCTGGGCTTTGGGGCCTGATCCTAGTCCCAGAAGTGGGTAAGCTGTTGAGATTCAGGTCGGAAAGTCTCAGACTACCACTACTCAGACCCAACTTGTGCAGGCAAGCAGTTGGAGAAGTAGCGAGAACTCCTTAGAAATGTCTGAGAAAGCCCTGGTGACCTGTCTATTCTGCAAGGGACAAACCATCTCTTCTTGTTCCAGGTGGTATGGCTCTTGGCCAAGCTGAGTGTGCAGAACCCTTCCCCCACAGGCGTTGGTTCTGACTGCCAATGCAATGTAGAGGTGAGTGGCCGGGACCAACAACATGGTAGCTCAGTTGGTTACCCAACTTCCCTGAAGTGGCTAGGCTGAATAAGTCAGTAGACCTCAGTCTGTGCCCTCTCTTCCCCAGGCAGTCAGAGTGCTCACCGTGATGCTGCACAGACAATGGCTGACTGTACGGCGGCGGGCAGGGGGTCCAAGGACCCACCAGCAGAAGCAGACAGTACGCTGTCTGCGGGACACTGTGCTGCTGCTGCATAGCCTATCTCAGAAGGACAAGCTCTTTACTGTGCATTGTGTAGAGGTCCTGCATCAGTATGACCAGGTGATGCCAGGGGTCAGTATGCTGATTCGAGCCCTTCCTGATGTGACCGACTGTGAAGGTAAGCCAGCAAGAGGAGCCTGTCCTAGCTAGCCCTCATGTGCCTCTGCCTAATGCTCATGAAGTGTCAGACTCCTGTGCTGGACTTCTCTCCCCACCACCAGAGCCATTCCTGGCACTGTGGACATTACCTTCCTGCTCTGATTCTTTGAGTATGCTAGGTTGTCCTTTGATCATGTCTACTGAACTGGCCTAGCTGAGCCACGGTTTTTCCAGAAATGTCTGTCCGAATTGCTTTTGTATCACTTTTGCTCACAGTAGCTGAGGGAGCAAAGCCTGGGCATGGAAGGGACTGGTTAGTTCCTGTGTTGCTAGGGGAGGATGGGTAGACCTCCGAACCTCAGCACCATCAGGTTTAACCTCAGGACCCTCTTCCTTCTGACTTAGAGGCAGCCCTGGATGACCTCTGTGCTGTGGAGACAGATTTGGAAGACTCTGAAATGGACTGTAGCTGAGGGCTTGAGCATCCAGCCACAAGGTGGCACCAGCTCCCACCACGCTGTCTTTGCTATATCCACTGATTAAAAACTGAAGTTCTGCTGAGAACAACAACTTTGTTTCCTGAGTCTAATTTGTGTGGCTGAGAGGGAGGGATACAGCAGACTAGGAACTAGGTTGATTAGATGCCTCTCCTTCCCTCCCCTGCTGGAGTTGAGATGGTCCCCATGGTTACTAATCTGCCTTGAGGAAAAACCCTGCCCCTCTTGGGGAATTATCCTGAGTCATAGCTTTGGGCTGGGGCCATGGGAAAAAAACTTGGTTGTGTAGCCGAGAAGGCAGCCCTTTCCTAGGAAGGCCTGGGAAAGTGGGCCAAGGACTAGGGAAAAGGCACAAAGAGTCATGGCAGAGACTCGAAGGCATGGTTGAATCCCGGAGACAACTCCATTTAAGTGGGTTGTCAGTGTGGGAGCACTAGTCTGTTTTATCGGCCAACAGGATCACAGCTGTGGATCTAAGACCTTTGGGGTGCTTGGAGAGAGAAGAGGGAGGGCTTTAGCAAACGAGGGCTAGGCTTGGCCGGCTGACTAGCTGGGCGGGCCTTGTTCAGGAGGCAGGCCTATGGGCGGACCCAGGCAGTTTCACTTCCTGAGCCACTGCTGCCAGCAGCAGAACCAACAGTGCCTTGCTGCCTGCTTCTCGGTAAGTGTGGACCTTAAGGGTATGGGGTAAGACAGGAAAGGATAGGTTTCCCTTACCCTGAAGGTGGTCAGCACTAGGGGAAGGGCTCCTCCCCCCAAAGGACAGTAATGTGCCCATCCTACTAGAAACAACCCCGTCTTCTAGCTTTCTGCTCTGAAAATGGGCCCTGGATCGTGCTTGACTGAAGGGAAGGTCTGAGCTGTGCTTCCGCCCACACCCTGCCCTGGCCCACTTTAGACTCTGATGGCACTCATCTACCCCATGTTCCTTCCCAGGCTCAGCATGGGCTCACAGGCCCTGCCCCACGGTCCCATGCAGACCCTCATCTTCTTGGACCTGGAAGCCACTGGCCTGCCTTTCTCTCAGCCCAAGGTCACAGAGCTGTGCCTGCTGGCTGTCCACAGATATGCCCTGGAAAACACCTCCATCTCTAGGGGGCAGCCACCTCCAGTGCCCAAACCGCCCCGTGTGGTGGACAAGCTCTCTCTGTGCATTGCTCCAGGGAAAGCCTGTAGCCCTGCAGCCAGTGAGATCACAGGGCTGAGCACAGCTGAGCTGGAAGTAAATGGGCGTCAATGCTTCGACGACAACTTGGCCAACCTGCTCCAAGCCTTCCTGCAGCGCCAGCCACAGCCCTGCTGCCTTGTGGCACACAATGGTGACCGCTATGACTTTCCCCTGCTCCAGGCGGAGCTTGCTATGCTGAGCACTAGCAGTCCTCTAGATGGTATCTTCTGTGTGGATAGCATTGCTGCCCTAAAGGCCTTGGAACAATCTAGCAGCCCCTCAGAGCATGGTCCAAGGAAGAGCTACAGCCTGGGCAGCATCTATACACGCCTGTATGGGCAAGCACCAACGGACTCGCACACTGCTGAAGGTGACGTTCTAGCCCTGCTCAGCATCTGTCAGTGGAAGCCACGGGCCCTGCTGCAGTGGGTAGACAAACATGCCCGGCCCTTGAGCACCGTCAAGCCCATGTATGATACTGCAGCCACTGCTAGACCAGCCAGCCCAAGGCCATATGCCGCCACAGCCACTACATCCTTGGCCACAACCAACTCAAGTCCCAGCCACGGCAGGAGCAGGCGACCCAAGAATCTTCCTCCAGCAAAGACTGCAGAAGCTCCATCCCAGGAGTTGCTGGCCCCACTGAGCCTGCTGGCCTTCCTGACCTTGGCAGTAGCCATACTGTATGGACTCTTCTTGGCCTCACCTGGGCAGTAAGCCAAGAAGGAAAATCTGACCAATAAAGACCCCCACAGCACTGACTAGTACTTGCTGCCTCCACTTCTTCATAGCCTGGGCCTCTGCCCATACTCAGGACTCTGGGGACGAGGCACAGTCCCTGCCCCTTGCTCTCTTAGCAGGATAATCAAACCTGCTGGGCTAATAAAAGTAGGGAGAAACAAGTTCAAGGGGTAGACAGAAGCAGTATTCGGTGTAGAGCCAAGGCTAGCAGCCCAGGCTCTGAAGAAAGAGGAAGTGGGTCCAGATATTTGCATTTATTATAAACAAGGGTGCAGAGCCTGGATGCTCAGAACCACACCAATAGACACAAGGCGAGGACAGCTGGAAGAACGTCAACCGACAGGGACACCGAGGTGAGGGATTCATGTCTGAGCCAGAGCTACCACCTTCGCCTTCCACCCCCACCTGTGGTCCAGATAGCCCCTTGGCCCTGGTGTCCCTGCGGCCAGGACTGGACTGCTATACAGGACTCAGGTATCCTATGAGGCTGGTGTCAAGGGAAATGGACTATCAGAGGTCAGGTTATCCTCCAGGAACCAAGGATTTCAATCTCACACCAACTAACACACATCTGGAGACAGAAAAGAGGCAAAATGTTTGGCTAAAAGTAAAACAAGACACTGCAGGGAGAAACAGGAGCATGTGGTGGACAGAGGGCCCTTGCCGAGTGGCAGGAGCCAGGCCAGCAAAGCGGAAGAGCTTCCCCACTGGGGATAGCCTGAATAATGAGTGCATGTGGCCACATGGTCCCAGGAAAGACACTGGGACAGTCTAGACAACTGACGGTGGGCAGATGATGCTCTGCCTGGTGTGCTGACATCGGGAGCTGACCCACCACTGAGCTGCAGCCGGGCCCCTTGTTCTGCCTGCCTACCTGCCTCACTGCAAAATGCAGCCAAGCCCTGGGCACAAGCCATGGCCCTGAGCAGCAGCTAGCTGGCTACCCTCCAGAGCAGGATTTGTGCCCACAAAAAGCTTACTCTCCTAAGTGTGACAGACCACGGCTGGTCACCCTGGGGTGAACTGGGAAATACTTCCTACCCCAATATTTTTAACTTACTTGAGACTTCAGAAAGTATAATTTTAAGTGAGGAAGAAGACAGGTTGGTCCCAACCCACACTGGTAAGGATTTGTGCCTACCTGGTCAGCGTCAGAGGAAGCCACATGTTTAGACAAGGCACACACAGCACAGAGAGCAGGAAAGAACTCTGCACACCACTCACTCACACATGACATAATCAAATGGCAGCCAGAGAGGTGGGGAGCAGGCTCAGGGAACTGCCTTTGGGGGATCCATGTAGGCCGGGTTGTATGGAGGCTGGCTGGCAGAGTAGGGTGCAGCTGAACCTCCTGAAAGTAAAGAGGGCAGAGGTTAGCTGTGGGGACAGTGGGCTGCAGTGTAAACAGGCAGGCGAGCTAGCAGGGAGGGACCCTAGGAGCAGAGGCATGAGATGGGGGACCATGCAGGGTTGCCGAATCCACAGTGGTACTCACCAGCCAAGCTCTCATGATAGGCTGGTGGACCCACGGGCTGGGCCAGGTAGGGTGGTGGGTACTGCGTCGGGTAGGGTGCTGTTGGCATTCCTGGCTGAGGGGGCATGGGGTGGTAGCCCTGGTACGTTGGTCCAGGGTAGCTGGGGGCCACACTTGGAGGCTGAGGGTAAGGAGTATGAACCACAGTAGTGGTTGTGGTGTTGGTCACGACGGCTGCAAAGAGAATCCCGATTAGTCAAAACCTTATGGCTCCCTAGGCCAGGCCTGCCTTCCATCCCCCCAGTTTAGCCAAAACAGGGTCCTGGTCAGCAACCCTTCCCTCTCTGGGATCAGCATGTTCACAGGGAGGGGAGCAGGTGGGCAAGGTGGGGAGGGCAGGCTTACGGCGTGGTCGGTTACAGCACATCTTATACAGACAGCAGCAGGAGCAGGTAAAGCATATGATGATGGTGGCGATGAACACCACAAAGATGGTCACGCCAATGGCGACAGTCGCTCCGAACCTGCCGAAAAGCCAGTCGTAACCACCTTTTACTCTTTCCTATGACCAGCGACTCTTACCTCGCATGTTCCAGGGGCGCCCCTCTCAGCAAAAGAGACTCTAAGAAACTTCCCAGTGTGTGTTATAAACCTGTTTCAACCCCAGTTTCCTCACGCACACAGCAGGGCTGCTCTTCATGAATTTATATAAAGCTCCCCTCCCCCATGCCCACTCCCTGTATCCACCTACCCATACACCTAGTCCTCCCCTACCAAACAAGCAGCGCATGGTTGCCAGACATATGCCACAAGCCGGGCAGGATGGAATCTGAGTCAAACAGGCTGCCAAGTGCTGAGGAACTGCAGCTCACTTGACATCCAGGGCTGCCCCATGGTTCACTAGCATGGGTCCATCACAGGGAGGCTAAATGGAGACAGCAGGCACCCACAGAATAGAGGGTCTGCCCTTTGACAGCAACAGCATAGGCTGGAAACCCCCCCACCCCCACAATGACACCCAATAGCACACAAGGCCCCCATTATCTTCCCATGGTCCCTGGTCCCATGCTGTTTTCTAATAAAAGACAAATGTTTGGCAACGGCAACAGGTACATTCAAAATGTAAACGCCAGAGCATCTGCCCCCCTGAGGTCAGAGAGGAAGGATGTAGGTGCCACCCCACCCTACCATGAGGCTCCCAAGCTCACAGCCCAGAGGAACAGCAAAGCCTCAGCAGGGCCTCTCAGCCAAGGGACAGACTTAGGCACAAGCCCCCACACACACACATAAGGCTTCCATAACAGGAGCCTTCACCACCATGTGGCCCAGGACAAGCATTTAAGACAGGACCATGGACCCATAGGTATCTCCCTGAGCAGTCAGAGGCAGGACAAAACCACATTCACACAGTTGGTGGCATGCAGTGGAAGGTCCAGTGTCTCTTTGCCTCTCTACAGAATGTGCCACGCTCACCCCATGTTAGCCTCCGCCTTCACTCAAGGGGCTCCTGCAGCCCAGGACTTCCCCTCTTTTCATCAGGGGCCACTCAGTTTCAATCTCCTCCCCTTTCAAAGAAAAGGAAATCGAATCTTCTCCTGAGCCTTTCCCATTCCTGACGTCAGCGGCCGGAAGGACAGACTCACAGGCCCTGTAGCCACCCTCTTAAAGACACAGCATGACTCAAGCACCATCCACAGCACCAGCAGCCAGAAAGCTACAGAGAAGGACTGGCAGGGGCCCGCAGAGGCCCCAGGTCACTTTCCCAGCCCTGTGCATCCTGGCCTCTGAATGCAGCCCAGCCCCAGCCCTGAGCTATTCTGCTTGGCTCACCCACCCCTTGGGCCTGAGCCTGCATGGGCAAAGCAGGACCTGTAGGCTCTGGCTGACACAGAAACAGCTCATCCCCACTGCCCCTCCTCTCCCACTCCTTGCTGCTCCCAAGCCTGTACATGACCCTGCCAGATCTGATCATGTTTCCCTGGTTCTAATGCCAACAGCTCCCCCAGCCTCTGGAACCACAGGATGTTTTGTCATTACTGGTGACATAGTGTGTACCTACCTTTCCGTGGGTGTAGAGTAAGTACAGTTAACAACTAAGATCTAGGGTTTGTCTAAACAGATAGTAAAACTTACAAAAAAAGCCAATTTCAATCTTTAAAAGTTTAGCTAGGTGTGCTAGCACACAGGTAATATTTGAAGTCAGGATGCTGCTGAGGCAGAAGGATTATGAGTTCTGTGCAAGCCTGAGCTACATAGAGAATTCCAGGCAGGCCTGGACTATATTGAGAAATCCTGTCCCCCAAAAGCCTAACAAAAAAAAAAAAAATTAGATAAAACTCCTTGCAGACCCCACCAAGCCAGGTGGGGCTGAGGACCCCTCCCCCTCTTTATCTCTGCTCTAGGCAGCTCACCAAGCACCAAGCTGTGTTCTGCCTCAGGGTCTTCTGGCTGTTGGGCCCCCCTCCTTCCCCACAACTCTCACTCCCAGCTGATAATCCCTGTTCATCTCTCAGACCTGAGTTCAATGTATCACTTCCAAGGGAACACATTCCTCAACCATGAAAACACCGGACTCCTTGGCTCCTATATAATTAAAGTCCTGTCTACTTATGGCTTAGTAGGTAGCGCCTGCTTGGCAGAGACAGGTAGAAGATCTCTGGGTTCGAGGCCAGCCTGGTCTATGTATGAGTTCCAGGCCAGCCAGGGCTACACAGTGAGATGAGATCTTGTCTCAAAAAAGAAAGAAAACTTTAAAAAAAAAAAAAGAAAGAAAAGAAAAGAAACCGAAGTTGAGCACACTGAGGGAGGATCCGTCCTCTACAGGATGTGACAACTCAGGGCTTGGCAGGTGTGCACTCTGGCAAGCTTCTGTTCTGACCTATGACTCAGAGGGTGAGAACCAAAGAGGAAGATCAATGGTGGGAAACGGAGACAGAGTTTGCAGACCTCAGGTCCCAGCATCTTTCCTCTGGGGGCCTCTCTGGGGTCCCAAGCCATGGCCAGGCAGCAGGGACTGATCCCCTACTATGGAATCCACTCTGTGGACAAAGAGTGCCCTCAGCCACAGAGGCCGCACATGGGTGTCCAGTGGAGTGTTTGCGTAAGAATGTTCCTGAGAGAAGTGTCATGGACAGCCCAGTCCCTCAACTTCCTGTGCTAGGCACAATTCTGGGGCCGCGAAGAACAGGAGAAAAAGAAATCGCAGTATCCCATTCTTCCCCCTAGCACAGCCCTCCCCGCTCCCCATACTTCTAGCTGTCTCCACCATGACCAAAAAAGCCTTTCCACACACTGTCAGGCCAGAGTGTCTCCATGGAGCTGTCTACACTCATCACACATGCTTTCAATTCACTCTTCATATGCTGTACTGGGTGGCTCCTGCCAAGTGTGCCAGTGTGGGGTGCCAATCCCACTTCAGTACAGTCCACAGTGCTTTGGACCAGCTGCCTTCCTTTTGTTGTTGGTTGTTTCATTTTTTGTTTTTTATTTTTTTTTTTTTTTTTTTTTTTTCTGGTTTTGGTTTTTTGGGACAGGGTTTCTCTGTGTAGCTTT